GCCATTCCCCAGCTTAGAACTTTTCAACGTTTCCTAGTACACTCAGAATTGAGGCCAGATTCTGAATGCTGTCTACAAAGGCCTGGCCTGCCACTCCTGCCTCATCCCCCACACTCTGCCTATCGCTCTCTGTACTCCAGCCACACAAGCCTCCTTCCAGGTCCTCTTTCCCACCCCATGGCCCCAGCACAAACTACTTCTGAGCCTGAAACACACTTCTCAACCCCATCCCATCCCCTCTTGACAGACTTGAGTCCCATTTGTCCTTAGGGTCTCAATTTCTCTACCATAGTCAATTATACTACCTGTACACTACCTGTAAAATTTTTAAAAAAGAATTTATTTTAAGAGATGGAGTGTCTTGCTTTGTTGCCCATGCTGGAGTGCAGTAGCATGATCATAGCTCACTGAAGCCTTGAACTCCTGGGCTCAAGGGATCCTCCCGTCTCAGCCTCCCAAGTAGCTGGGACTACAGGCATGAGCCACTGTGCCCTAAAATAAAATCTTCTAAGTAATTCAGAATAGAAATTCAGCCAGTCCAATGATTTGACCAAGGTTACTAAAACACTTTTGGTTTTAAACATGTGTTTAAAAAACAAAACAAACAAACACACTCTAACTGATGTGAAAAACCAAGGCTAAATTTAGTGTGTGCTGGCAGAACCCCCTCCCTGCATACTGGAAGGCTTAGATTTTTTAAAAAGGCCCACGCCTCCCTCCAAGGGTCCTACCATCAGGCAGAGGATCAACCCAGTGTTTGTTGAGTCCCATGGGAATAGAATCCATCTCAGCTTCCCGCTGTGCCTGCTTGAGTTCCCGCCTTTCTTTGGCCAAGGCACTCTGCATCATCGCTGCTTGGGAGAGGGAGCCATCTGGGTTCTAGTGCAACAGAGACAAAAGCAACATGCGTTAAATGTCCAGAAAATAAAATATATATGTTAAGCCACTGTACTCTAAAGCATGAGACCACGCCTGGAATGAAGTTCCTATCAATGTACCAGACTACATGAAAGAAATGGATAAACTGTAGCACATTCAGATAAAATAAATGAGGGCAATGATAAATTATTGAAAGAATTGGGATGTTTAGTTTGAAGATGAGAACCCCAAGAGAGACAGAAATGATGCTACCTTTAAATGCATTAAGGATATAAGAAAGGGATAAGAATTCTTCTGTATGATCCTAAGAACTAAAATTAAGACCAATGTGGACACTTCAGTGAGAAAGATTTCAGCTCCGCCTAAAGAAGAACTAACAATCAGGTCCATCTAAAGATGGAAGGAAAATGTATCTGCTGGGTACAATGTATACTACTCTGGTGACCGGCGCACTTAATAAGCCCTGACTTATAGTGTCATCATTCAATTCATCCATATAACAAGAACATCTGTACCGCTTTAATATTTTGAAATAAAAAAATAAAAAATAACACAATCTGGAAAATAAATAAATAAAGATAAAAGAAATGTCTCTCCTTAAGGGTTGGTGAATTCCCTGTCACTAACAATGTCATGCAGCTGTGAGGTGACCACATGGGAAGAACGCTGCAGAATTACATGGGT